GGGGCTGTGATGATTTCTGATGGTTTTATAATGGTTTGTAATGGTTTGTGATGGGTTCCTTTGGAGTGTGCTGGTGTGCTACAGTGTGTGATGGTTTGGGATGGTTTATGATGTTGTGTGCTGGTGTGTGATAGTTTGTAATGGGTTTTGATGGTTTGTGATGGTGTGTGATAGTGTGTAATGGTTTCTGATGGCTTCTGATGGTTTGGGATGGGTTCCTTTGCTGTGTGCTGGTGTGTGACAGAGTGTGATGGTGTCTCATGGTTTGGGACGGGTTCTGATGGGGTGTGCTGTTGTGTCACAGAGTGTGATGGTTTCTTATGGTTTGGGATGGGTTCCCTTGCTGTGTGCTGGTGGGTTGGGCCGTGGGGTGGCTGACACAGCCCCAGACTGCACTAGAGGGCGTGCAAGCACCGTGGTTCTGCTCATCCCCAGGTCCTGGAGTCGGGCATCCTGCAGAGGATCTCCCCCGAGGAGCGCAAGCGGCAGGAGGTGAGAGAGCCCTGGGCTGTGCCAGGGAGCACAGCAGGGCACAAAGGCTGTGGGACACACCTGGCTCTGGCAGGGTCTGCTCCAGGTGGAGCTGGGCTGGGCTCAGCTCAAGGTGCTGCTGCTTCCAGCTGCTCCAGGGCTGGGCAGTGCTGGGAGGGCTCACCTGCACTAACTGCTGGGGAAACAGCTCCACTGGATGCTGATGGAAAGGGAAAACATCCTCATGCTGTGGCTTTTTAACGACTGAGTGTCCTAAAACACACTGGGATTATTGGTATTGGCCAGGCCATGCATGAGGTGACACAGAGAACCCACATGGAGCCAAGTAATTTCCAGTGGCTCTGTGCCAAAGAGTAGAAATAAGATTTAACAATTAATTCCTGGCTTTTTCCACGGTTGCATCTTCCCTGCTTTCTCCAGGCCATGTTTGAGATCATCACTTCTGAGTACTCCTACATGCACAGCCTGAACATCCTGGTGAGCCACTTCATGAGGTCAGAGGAGCTGAAGGAGACCATGACTCAGACAGAGCACCACCACCTCTTCTCCAACATTGGGGACATCCTGACAGTCAGCAAAAGGCAAGTGGGGCCTGGGAGGGGACCCTGAGCTTTTTATTGGTAGTGCTAAACCAACCATCCCTTGGGTTGTTGAAGGGACTCACTGGGAGGTGGGGAGGAAATGCCTTGGGAGCTGTGTCCATGTGGGAAGGCAGCAGGAGGATGCAGCAGCCCTGGGAATGGCTCTGGGGGTGTTGAGGGCTTGTGGCTTCCTGACGGGGCAGAAAGTAAAACTGATGGAGGGCTGAGGTGGAGGAGGGATCCCGTGCAGGAATGGAGGAAGCGTGTGCCTCTGGGGAAGGCGTGGGTGTCTCAGCTGCTGGAGCTGCCCTGCCAGAAAGGATCCAGGCCCCAGCTCCTCTGGGAAAACTGGGGAAAAGCAGCAGTGGGAACATTCAGTTTGTCCAGTGAGTCATGTGAGCTTGTTTAAATTCTCTCCTCAGCTTCTTTGAGGACCTGGAGAAGCGGCACCAGGAGCACCTCCTGATCCCCGACATCAGCGACATTGTGGAGGAACACGCCTCGAAACACTTCAACCCCTACATCAGCTACTGCTCCAATGAGGTCTATCAGCAGAGGACACTGGATAAGCTGCTGTGAGTACAGGGCTTGGGCTGGCCTAGGAGTTGCCTCAAAGGGCTCTGGGCTCCAGGGACTGCAGAGATCCATAGCACACAGGGATTTGTTCATCTCCAGGCCAAGTCTGAGTCTGTTATTGGTACATCTGTGGCTTTACCCACCTTTTGGTGGGCTCACCATCTCTCTCTGGGTGCTTTTCCACCACCTGCTGTGGGATCAGTCCTGTTTCTGCCCAGCTGGGCACTCCGAGCCTGGCAGAGCACCCGAGGCAGTGCCATCACTGCTCTGCCTTTCTAGTGTGTGGAGAGCTGCTGGCAAATCCTGACAGCTGAAGAACAGAGTTAATGGAGCTTTCTTATCCTGTTCCAGAACCACAAACCCCTTATTTAAAGAGACCCTGAAACAAATTGAAAGGAAACCAGAGTGTGGAGGCCTGCCAATGATCTCATTTCTCATTCTGCCCATGCAGAGAGTAACACGACTTCCTCTGCTCTTAGATGTAAGTAGTCACACAGTAGCACTGCTTGGCACCCCTGAAGAGGTGACTCTGCTATTCCCTTTGTTTGCTGAACCTGGGACAGCCTCTGCTTGGACTTCCAACCCTCTGGAGCTGGGCCCTGGGTGCTCCTGTATTCAGGAGAAGCATTTGGATAACTCTCAGGCACATGGTGGGATTCTTGGGGTGTCCTGTGCAAGGCCAGGAGTTGATCTTAATGGATCCCTCCCAGCTCAGATTTATATCCAGAGCCATCTGCTTCTCTGGGGGGTGTCAGGTGTGCAGCTTAAAGCTCTGTGGATAACGCTTCATGTCTTGGTGCCACCCATCTGAGCCACCTGAGCTTCTTCTGTGCCATGTCTGGGTCCCAGGGTGGGGTGGCACAAGTGTTCTGGTCAGGCAGCCCAGGAATGGAAAGCAAGTCTTGCATTCTTCATGGAATTCTACTCTAAATGGCCACGCTGCTGGATGTGGGATTTCCAGTGACTGCTCCCAGTCTGTGGGGGTTGCAGGGCTGAGGGCCAGGGGGTGGCCAGGCACACACCAGACATGAAACTCCCAGATTCACATCTCCCAGCACTGTTAAACCTTCCTGTAACCACTGGGAACAGCTCAATCAACGTGTGGCATCCTGAAGTCCCAGGGGAGTGGCTCATGCTCCCTTCTCTGGGGTGCAATGTCACTAAAGCTTCTTATCTTGGAATTCCAGACCGTGCAGCAAAAAACAAACGCGCGCACCGCAGCGTACGGAGCTGCCACCCGCGCTGTGAAGGCCATCAGCAAGGTGAGGCCCAGCTGCCAGCCCTCCACCTCTCCTCCTGCCAGCTCAGCCCTCTGCAGCACTGATCCAAAGCTGCCATTCTGGCCTCTCATTTCCCTCCCAGCATCAGTTCACTCGAGGCTCCCCTGCTCCAAACAGCTGCTGGATGAACGCACCATTTCCCTTCTCAACTTTGTCACCTGATCTTGGTTTGTTTCTTGTTCTCTGTTCTTCTTTCCTCTTTGGCCCATCTTTATCCTTCCTGAAGCAGCTCTCACCATGGTTTTTGGGGATTTGGGCAAAGGGCAGTGAATGAAGCAGAGAGGGAAGTGTGGAGTGCAGTAGTCATGAGCTGTGCCCTGTCCGTGCTCCTGATCTCATCTCCCTGTTTTTTCCACCATGCCAGTGGTGACTTCCTTTCATCCCCCTGAGGAGCAGCTCTTGGCAACACTTTCCTGCTGCTCCCAGTCTGTCCTGCTCTCACATCTGAGCAGAGTCCTTCCCTCTGTGTGATTGTTCATCCTCCTGCCTTGAGCTCTTCTCAGATGATTAATTCTTCCTCCTCCTATTGCTCCTCAGTTCTGGTGCAGGTTCACTTGAGTCCTTCTCCAGGCAGAGCCCAAGTGCCATCTCTCTCCAGGACAGCATCCCACTGCCTTTTCCCAACCTGGCATGAAACCTATGCCAGGAATTGTCTGTCTGTCTCTCCTGCTCAGGGCAGCAGGACAGTCCCTAATGCTGAGGGTGGCGTGGGAGATGGATGGGCTCTGTGTCTGACTCTTCTCCACTTCCCTTGGGATGTTTTTCTCTCCCCAGCTGGTCAAGAGCTGCAATGACGGAGCTCGGGCTATGGAGAGGACAGAGCAGATGTACACCTTGCAGAAACAGCTGGAATTCGGGAAGAAGAAGGTGAGGCCTTGTGGAAGTGGTGGTGGGAAGTCTTCTGGGGCTGTTTAGACAGGTCAGACCCATGTTGGGAATCCTTCTGGGAAGCCTGGAGTGGTCTCCCACTGGGCAGCACTGACAGAACCAGAGGACACAGTCTCCAGCTATGTCAGGGAAGGTATAGGTTGGATATTAGGAAAAAATTTTTCACCAAAAGAACAATAAAGTACTGGAATGCTCTTCCCAGGGAGGTGGTAGAATCACCATCTCTGGAAGTGTTTAAATAAAGCCTGGACATGGCACTTGGTGCTGTAGTCTGGTTGAGGTGTTAGGGCATAGATTGGACTCGATGATCTTAGAGGTCTCTTCCAACCTCATTATTCTGGGATTCTGTGACTGTTGGATGCAGGCAGTTTCTAAAAAGTGTAGTAAAGCCATGACAGTTGGGGTCCAGAGGGTGCATCTCTGGTGTGCTGGAATGGGGTGCACAGCCCCCTGGAAAATCCTTTTTAAAAGACCCTTGAATGTTGTGACAGTGTTCACAGGGGTCTTAGGTTGAGGAAAGAGATGAGGATCTGACTCCATGTTTTAGAAGGCTTGTTTTATTATTTTATCATATATGTTATATTAAAACTGTAATAAAAGAATAGAAGAAAGGATTTCATCAGAAGGCTGGCTAAGAATAGAAAAAGCAGGAATGATAACAAAGGCTTGTGTCTGGGACAGAGAGTCCGAGCCTGCTGACTGTGATTGGCTATTAATTAGAAACAACCACATGAGACCAATCACAGATGCACCTGTTGCATTCCACAGCAGCAGATAATCAATGTTTACATTTTGTTCCTGAGGCTTCTCAGCTTCTCAGGAGAAAAAACCTTAAGGAAAAGATTTTTCATAAAACATGTCTGTGACAAAACGCATGTGGTGTGTCCATCCCAACTGACCCCAGGGGCCACTGCAGGCTCACTCCTTGCCTTGATTTTGCCTGCTGCTCATGAGCAGGGCAGTGCCTGAGCCTTTTCTGGCGCTGTTCCAGCCTTTCCCTCTGATCTCGGTGTCCCGGTGGCTGCTGAAGCGGGGGGAGCTGCACCTGCTGCTCTCGGAGGAGGCTGGAATCTTCCGCCGCGGCGCCGGCCGCCTCTGCCACCTCTTCCTCTTCAACGACGTCCTCATCATCACCAAGAAGAAGAGGTGAGGGCCCTGCCTTTCCCTGANTGGGAATTGTTACCTTGCTGGCACGAGGGTCCTGTCCACCCCTCGGGGCACAGGCAGCGGCCGCTGATGTGGCTGCAGGTGGCGTTGTTGAAGCACCGGCAGGTGTGGCTGCAGTTCTGGCCGTAGCTGTTCTCTGGGCAGGCTGCAGGGGAGCAGAGCAGGCAGGGCCGGTGGGCACTGGGTGGGAATTACAGCGGCCAGGCTCCTGCCAACCCTCCCAATGGCTGGGAGGGGATGTGCCAGGGGTGGTTGGTTGCTCTGGGAGGGGGTTTTGTGGTGTTAAATAGATTAATGTGACATCCAAACACTGATATCATCACTGTTACATCCTCCGTTATGTGGGAGCAGTTTTGCTGGATGCCCAAGCCTTCATTGCATCCAACCAGAACATGCTCAGGCAGAACCCTCCAGAACCAAAATTAAATTCCACACAGAGAAAATCACAAATGGGGAGTGAACAACCCAGAACTCTGGTTCCTATGACCTGGCAGCAGAGACAGCCCTGGCTCCAGAGTGCCATGGAGAGCAGGGAGGGCACCTCCCACAGACACCTGTCCTGGGCACAGACACCTACCCTGGGCACAGCGGGCACCAGTCCAGCCCGGGGGACACTGGCACTGTCCTGTCACAGGGTCACAGTGGGCACCATTCAGGCAGTCACAGGCTTGCCGACACTCCAGTCCATAAAATCCATCGGGGCAGGCTGTGGAAAACAAAGGAGAAATCCACACACAGAATGCAGAGCTGGAGCCCTCCCAGAGGGAAAAGCTGCCTGCCCCTTCCTTGGTGGCCTTTGTGGCTGCAGCAGTGTGACAGTGCTGCTGAGGGCAGCAGATATTGGATGCAACACCACTGTGGACACTGCAGGTACAGGAGAGGGCAGTGGAGGATCAGGAGAGTGATGGTTTGATGTTCCTGACCACAGAGAGGCTGCTGGGGGAGCTGGAGAGAGCCTCCTCCAAGAGGCTGCTCTGAGACCCTGTGTGCAACATGTGCACGCTCAGGTGGCCACAGCAGCTGTATGTCGCAGACATCTTTTATGAAAAATATTTTCTTTAAGATTTTTTCTCCTGAGAAGCTGAGAAGCCTCAGGAACAAAATGTAAACAATTGTTATCTGCTGCTGTGGAATGCAACAGGTGGATCTGTGATTGGTCTCATGTTGGTTGTTTCTAATTAATGGCCAATCACAGTCAGCTGGCTCAGACTCTGTCCAAGACAGAAGCCTTTGTTATCATTCCTTCCTTTCTATTCTTAGCTAACCTTCTGATAAAATCCTTTCTTCTATTCTTTTAGTATAGTTTTAATATAATAAAATAATAAAATAATAAATCAAGCCTTCTGAAACATGGAGTCAGATCCTCATCTCTTCCCTCATCTTAAGACCCCTCCGAACACTGTCACAGCTGTGCAACCACTGGGTCACCTATTATTTACATTTTCATTGTCCTTTTTTTCTCCCCTAAACCTTTTCCCTCCAGATATAAAACCAGAGGCAGCAGCTTGCAGTTTTGTTGCTTCCCCATGGCCATCCTGAGGAATTCTCTCTGCTGTAACGGGATGACAAAGCCAGACAGGGAGCACAAACCCTCTGGGGTGGAGGGCTGGTGCCCAGGGCTAGGGACTCACCGTGCTCACAGAAGGTTCCTCGCCAGCCTGGGCTGCAGGTGCAGGCCCCACTGACATGGTCACAGGTGGCTCCATTGTCACACTGGCACTGGTGCCGACAGCTCAGCCCAAACCACCCCTCTGGGCACTCTGAAAGAGAGGAGACTGAGCAGCCTGTCCCTTCCTGGGTCCCAGAGGAGCTATCCTAAGGCAGGAGCTTGGATTCTGAATGGAATAAAAATATCTGGCAGATGAACCCACAACCAGTGGGTTGTCCCCCTTACACACCCTTACAGGTGTGTACCCACGTCACAGTCATCTTTTATGAAAAATCCTTTCCTTAGGACTTTTTCCTCCTGAGAAGCTGAGAGGCCTCAGGAACAGAATGTAAACAATGGTTATCTGCTGCTGTGGAATGCAGAAGGTGGATCTGTGATTGGTCTCATGTGGTTGTTTCTAATTAATGGCCAATCACAGCCCAGCTGGCTCAGACAGAGAGTCCGAGCCACAAACCTTTGTTATCATTCCTTCTTATTCTATTCTTAGCTAGCCTTCTGAAGAAATCTTTTCTTCTTTTAGTATAGTTTTAATGTAATATATATAATAAAATAATAAATCAAGCCTTCTGAAACATGGAGTCAGACCCTCATCTCTTCCCTCTACCTGAGACCCCTGTGAGCACGGTCACATACCCACATCACTCTGGGCACTGGACCAGCATGACAGCCAAGGAAAGGGACTGGGCTGGAGCAATGACCTTTCCCTGGAGCCCTGCAGGCCCTGGAGGGTGGGAGGACAGGCAAGGAAGGGCAGGGCAGCACTCACTCTGCTCACAGTGGGTGCCCGTGTAGCCGGCCAGGCANCCAGACAGCCTGGGGGAACCCACAGGTGGATGTGGATGGATGTTTCACCCAGGAGGAGGCAGAGTTTTCTGTCTGTGCCAGCCCCAAAGCACCCCGAACTCTCATACATACATCCCTCATGGCACTGGGATCTCAGGATGGCACAGCCAGCACAAGGGATGCAGTGGGAGCAGAGTGGTCCCCGTACCAGCCCGGGGAAGGGGAAAACAAACACAAGGAGAAGGTCCAGATAGCCCAGGGATATCCACCAGGTGTATTTGCATGGATGTTTCACCCAGAAGAGTTCTGTCTGTGCCTGCTCCAAAGTACCCAGAACTCACTCACACACACACATATCCCTCGTGGCACTGGGATCTCAGGATGGCACAGCCAGCACAGGGGATGCAGAGCAGGACTCACCCAGCTGGCAGGCAGGACCGTGGAAGCCAGGGGGACAGACACAGGCCCCGGTGACAGGGTGACATTCCTGGGTGGCTCCGGAGCACTGGCAGATCTGAGCACAGCCCTCCCCAAAGGTCCCAGGCAGGCAGGCTGTGAGGAGACAGGGCACCAAGGTGGCTCAGGAGCCATCCCTCCACTCTCTGCAAGGCTTATTTTAAAACGTTTTATTTTAAGCCAGGATTTAGAGAGCCTTTTATGGCAGTAAAATTCTCCGCCACCCAAAAAGCAGAGGGACTCTCAGGCAAAGGGGTCATTCACTCCAGGAAATACTTGGATTGAAAGGAAAGGCGAGTACTTAAAGGCATTAAATGCCTTTTGCTGTGCCAGCCCTTCCTGCCCTCACATTTCTGCAGGCTCCACACGCAGACATAGCAAATTCACCACTGTCCTCTGTGTCAGGAACGTGCTCACACACCTCTGTCTCTTCCAGACTTGCTCCTACCCACAGGAGCTCATTTTAACAGTGATTTATTGCTAATCCTCTGGCTAAACACCCAGCTCTGCTTTCCCACTTGGCTCCCTCTGCCTTGCTAACATTCCACAGGCATGCACTTGGTGCCAGCCTGGGAATTGCTCCTTGGCACAGCTCTGCTCTTGAGCTGGTTTTCCACAGTTGGGACGGACAGAGATGTGAGATTTTTGAAGTTAGGTCGTGGAATTTGGGGTTTATTGCAAAGGGCCTGGGTGCAGGGCCCTGCTTGGAGCTGCAGCCACAGCTCAGAGCAGGCCCGAGAGAAGAGAGGGGCAGAGAGGATGAGAAGGAAAGAGCGTAAAAGGGTAAGAGAGCAAAAGCATAAGAGAGTAAAAAGAGGTACGAGAGTAAAAGGCAAGAGCTAAGACCAAGAGGGCGAGGTTCTCGTTATAATACAATAAATCTTCTTCTGTGTTGGATATTCTGATTTTCACTAACTAATCTAGTACAATATACAAATTTTTATAGCATTTCTATATAGCTTATAAGAATCACTACATTACTATACTGTGCTACATTTTAAACTTTAAAAATTACTCTTTGGACTTATTTTGCCAAGCTGGCAGGGTCTGCTCTGACCCTTGGACCTGTCTGCAAGCAGAGGGTATTGTTTCATCAAAAGGGGATCACCTTCAGCTGGCCACACCATTGTTTTCCAGTTGTTTAGTAACTGAGGGATCTCAAAGCTTGCTTTCATTTCAATCTCACTTATAGTTTCTATATTCTCAAAATCTTTCGCCAAGCAATCACATTTACAAGGCTTTCCTGTTTCATCTTCCCCAACATTTATCTTTCTTTTCCCCTTCTATTTTCTACAGGAATGGCTTGGCCCACCCCATTCCCAGGGCCTGCAGCAGGACCATTCCCATCTCCGTACGTTTTTCACATCCAGAGCCGGTCAGTCCTGGCGGGCAGCCGCACTGGCCGGTGACGTGGTGACAGGGCACTCCCAGGGGACAGCCACAGCGGCTGGCACAGTCCTTCCCAAAGAAACCTGGCAGGCAGGCTGTGGGAAAACAAACAGTGGGATGTGAGCCTGCTGCTGGTGGGGTTCTGGAGAGTTTGAGGCTTTATGTGCTGACCCCCCAAGAGAAAACTGCGTTTGACCTGAGGCCATGGAGAAAGACACAAAAATTGATTGATAGCACTGAGATTGAGGGTGTGGAGTTGGTTAGAATTGTGTGATATTACATGGTGGGAAACTTAAGAGTTTGGGATTTTAGAATATGGTAATAAATATGGAGAAAGATGGAGGTTTTGGGGTGAAGGTTGCTCCTCCTTTTTCACCCTCTTCCTTCTTCTCTTCTTCACCTTCTTCCTTCCTCTCCATGGGTTTGGGTGGTATTTTGTAACTGGACAGAAAAGTCCACATTGCAGACTCTGAGTGATGGTTATTGGATTAAAAGTGAAAATAATTTAGGTGTCATTTCTTAATTGAATAGTTTATCCTTAAAACACCTTGTAATGAAAGATGGTTGGCCATTTTGTGCCTTGTTAGTGAAGAAATGCAGAACTCACTGCTGTGAGTTAACATTGATAAATAATAAACACCTGAGTCTGAATGTGAACCACTGTCTCAAGTGCCTTCAATCTTGACCTCAACAGAGGAAAATGGAAGCTGAAAATGGACATTCTGCCTGGACTTAAGTTGTTGCTATACCTGGAAGCCATCAGAGCCTCCTCTGAGGGGCTCCTGCCCCAGTGCTGAGCCAGCCCAGCAGCATCTTGTGTCACAGCCTCAAAAGATTTTGCCAAAACTTGTAATTGTCATGCAAAATGAGGTTTTCCTCTTCCCAGGCTCTGGAGCAGCAGATGTTCCCCTGTGTTTCCCTCACCCAGGGTGCTCCTCACCTTTCTCACAGCGCCGGCCCCTCCAGCCCCGGGGGCAGTCACAGGCACCGGTGACGTGGTGGCACGAGACGTTGTCCCCACAGTCACAGAGCTGCTCACAGCGTGCCCCAAACAGCCCCTCTGGACAAGCTTCAGGGATGGAAACACAGCAGAGAGGACAAGTTGCACAAAAAAAGTGACTTTTGGGGGCTTTTTCCCTGTAGTTCCAAGAAGACTGGGTCTGGATCTTGTGTACACACAGGCAGGTTGAAATACAGACATGGGGAGCTGACGGGACCTAGCTTGGTTCTTTAAAAAAAAACCAACAGAATTTCTATCTTTTGGGTGGGTTTCTTCATTAATTTATATTGGAAGAAATTATAGAAGTGCTTTAGACTGCCTGGTGCCCCGTGCTGCTGAGGCTGTGTGGGGTTCTGGGACTCCATGTGACAATGCTGGGAGGGAACACTGTCCCTGAGGATGTGGCAGGACCCAGTGAGGTGACTTAAGAGTTTGAGGTTTTAGAATATAGTGGTAGGAGGAGGAAGCTGCTCTGGGTGTGCACCAGCACTTTCAGGACAGCCCTCAGATGACAGGAACAAGGTAGGGTGGAACTGGATGATCTTTAAGGTCCCTTCCCACCCAAACCCCTCTGCGATTCGATGGAATGAGAAAGGGCACTGCAAAACAGGGGCACAGCCAAAACCACAGCACTGCCAGCTCCCTGCTTGCTGAAATTCTGAATTTTTTGTCTTTGCTTGAGCCTTCAGACCCTCCCTGTGCAGCACCACGGTGCCCAGATCAGCCCCACTCACCTGTGTCACACTTGTCACCGGTCCAGCCGGGCTGGCACAGGCAGNGACGGGGAGCGGGGCTGGTTCCCCCAGGCCTGTGCCAGGCCCATCACCAGCCGCGTGGCCGCCGAGGGCAACGTGCGGCGCATGGAGCGGCTGCGCATCGAGACCAACGTGTAGGGACAGCCCGGAGGGACCCTCCTCTGCCTCAGGGAGCCCCAGACCCCTGCAGACTGAGCCCACGGAGAGGAGGCACAGCAGAGCCTTTCTTCTCCAACTGTGCTTGTGCCAGGCGGCAAATCTCATCAACCAGGATGGGTTTGTGTGGCAGCAGTGACACAGCAGCTCTGCTGTGAGAGCTGGCACCGGGCACTCCTGGCAGCACTGGCACTGGTGACCTGGAACAGGCTCTGGGAGCAGCCAAGGGCTTGGCTCAGGCTGGGAAGCTGGAGCTGTTCTGGGCTCTGAAGTGCTTGTGCCACCATGGAGCTGTTCTGGGCTCTGAAGCGCCCGTGTCACCATGGCCAAGCTGGGCTCTGGCACCATCTCCGTCCCTGCAGCACCTGCTGCACACCTGGTGTGGGGAGAGCACACCCCAGTCAGGCTTTGTTTGGAGCTTCAATCCACGTGCTTGGCTCATTCCTCAGCCCAGTTTTTGCTGCTGTTTCTCTTTTTTCTGTCTCTGATGCCCACAATAATTATTGGGCCCTTTGGGCAGAGCTGTGCCCTGCACAGGTGAGGTGATGCCAGACACCTTTGGGTCACTTGATGAAATACTTGATGCCAGAGTTGTTCCCATGGAGTCAGCTCTGGGATGTGCTCCAGGCAGAGGATGAGGAGCAGTGCTGCAGCTCCCACCTGCCTTTCCCTGCTCCCAGCTGGGGAGGGGGCTCAGCCCCTCACACCCCATGCAGGGGACATGGCTGCTACAATTTTGGGGTGCCAAACTTCACATTCACTGTTCTGATCAAGCTGTTCAATTGTAAATTCACAATAAATTCTTGGGTACCAATGGACCATGTGTTCTCTGTTAGTGGTGAGTGTCCCTGAGCATGAGAGCTGCAAGCATGAGCCCTGAAATGAAGCTTCATTCTGCTGGTGGTATTGCATGTTCTGACACAATATCTACACCTCATGGAACACCCTCCTGTCACCTGGAGCAGCTGTCAGGTGCATTTGAGTGAGACAGACAAGATAAGTAGAAACTCAGCCAGGCTTTCTATTTATTTAACTGTGGAGAAAGTAACATTTTTTTCATCAGTGCTAAATTAAAGAAGATCCAAAAATGGAGACAGTACAAGAAAAGAGGAAGCAAACGAAATGGATTAAGAAAATATGAACAGGAAAAGAACATTATATAAAAATACAGGTACAGGGTTTGCTCTGAGCAGTTCCAGCAGGAGTCCTGGAGCTGCAGCTGGAAAGGGACAGGATGGATCCATCCCCATGGTTAAGGCTGTTCCCATGTTCTTCTGGAGCAGGGCCAGCATCTCCACTGGCCTCCTCCTCCTCCCAATCACTGGAACCTTCCTGTGATGGCCCAGGAGCTCCAAGGCAAAGGGGAGCTGAGGGATGATTGTCTGGAGATGAGCAGCACCACTGGCAGCACTGATGGGCTCATTTGGCACATGGACAAAATCTTCCTGCTCCCTGCTCATCCCACACCCAACCTCAGCAGCACCATTTTGGTCCTTCACTACATACTCATATTAACATGGTTTCTTCACAAGAATGATAGATAATGTTTAAAAAACCAAACTGTTAAAGAAGAAATAAAATCAGAAAGGAATTAGCCCAAAATGAGAAGTTCTATACAGATTAAAATAGCTTCCATTAGGAAAAGAAAGAATTCTTTTATTATTTTCATGTTGGCCCCTGTGGGAATAATTTAAAGGCCAAGTGCCTGGGCAGGGCTGTGCTGCAGCCTGTGGGGATGGGATGGGAT